ACTCTTCCACGCAAAAATCTGAAATGTGCTAGTCTTCCACGCAAAAATCTGAAATGTACTAGTCTTCCACGCAAATAACGAAATGTGCTACTCTTCCACGCAAAAATCTGAAATGTGCTACTTTTCGACGCGAATAATGAAATGTGCTAGTCTTCCACGCTAATAGTGAAATGTGCTAGTCTTCCACGCGAATAGTGAAATGTGCTACTCTTCGTAGGGACCGACGATATGATCTGTCAAAGTTTGCACTTTTTCTTGATTCTGACTAATCATGTACTACTTCAAATCGTTATATCTCGGATTCTGCGCATTGTAAAAACTTCATATGAACGTCGTTTTAAAGTTATAGAAACGGGCTTAACATTTCTGCATATAAGATGGTCATGATTGTCCTAAAGTTAACTTAGCTATTAACAGTTGAAATTTTTGATTTTGATTTTGAGTGCTTCATGAAGTATTTAGACTGCTGATTTCCTCTGGTTTTGTGACTTGTGAATTTTGTAATAACTAAGAAAATTTTATGCAATCCTTTTAAACTTCCTCAAGATAACTGAATATGGAATAACATCTCTAGGACTACTGCGTTATGCAAGACTTCCACTAAAGATCGATTATATTAGTAACTAAATTGATGTCAATGGTGATAATGATAATTTGTATATATGTGTGAATTCTTCTGGTATTGTATTGTACCAGTAAAAAAAATCTTTTTGTTTTTGGCATTCCTAAGAAGGTTAGGGTTTAGGAGTAGTTTTGGTCATGGAAGTTCCCGAAAGATCACGAAAGACCTAAAAGAAAAACAAAAAGGAGGAAAGGATTACGAAAAAATACCGAAAGTTCCCGAAAAGGAAAACGTAAGTTTTGAAAAACCCGAAAAACTACAAGGAAGAATGGTTTTATTTCAATAACAATTTCTAAAGTGTCTAATGGTTTCTTCATGGAGATAAGGAGTGAGACTCATTGAAGATGCCATAAGGTAACCTCTTGACAGCCTTAAACCCGTCTTTGGTATTTTTGTAGACAGTGGGATGCTTTTGAGAATGCCACCTGTGACCAGACTCTGTGCTAACAAATTTGATTCATCCAAAACTCGCACACAGGGTAATTGGGATTCAGACGAAGCTCACAGTGGCTGGAATGTTTTCTCTCGCTCTGATGCTTGGTAATTGATTCCCTACTTGTGAACTATAATGGCTTTAATATCTACGCCTTGGCGCATGTAGAAGATGTGGCCTTCCTCACCACAGGCCCTTCTCGGTCAGTTATTTGTAGGCAAGTAAAAAAAGATAGCTCTGAATATGACACACAATTGGTGTAGAAGAAGCATGAAGTATGTATTTAGCTATAATCCTAGATAGTAAACTTTTAGGGAATCCTCACGTTGAACAAAATATCCCCAAAGGTTTAACACCGTTTTGGTCTTTATTGTTTGATAAGGCGTAGCGTTTCACAATAGCTTGGGAATTTGGCTTACTAAACTTAGCTTACCCTATAACTAGTGGGCTTGCTCTTGATGCACCGCTAAACCTACCAACACTTAATGCCTTTCTTTGCGGGGAGTCCCTTAAGGCGAAATCAGGTGTGGTACAGTATATAGTCAGATGGAAATTCCTGAAGTCAGAGATCGAGACGTAAATGTCGCGGGATCAGGACCTAGAGTCTTTCTTGAGGATTATACCTCGATATTCCAAGCCAAGATATTTAAATCCTAAAGGTTATAAACTGAGGTGTGGAAAATAGGTGCATTAAGATTCGGACAGAAAGATATAGTAGTTG